GAACAACAAAAGCCAAGTTCTGGTAACTGTTAAAAGAAAGAGGTTGAACTAATTAGGTGCCATCAGACTGAAGTCAAGCCGACTGAAAGAGTTGATGATGGTGAAGGGAAACCAAATATAGATATCAGGGCAGAACAGGAGAGGGACCAGGATTTGAGGCCAATGATTGATTTTCTAAAAGCGAGTGTTGTGCGCCCTGCTTGGGAGAAGGTGTCTAGTCTAAGCCCCGTGACAAAGCACTATTGGGCACAATGGGAGCAGTTGAAGCTTGAAAATGGTATTCTTGTCCGGAGATGGGAAACTACAGGTGGAAAGTGACGACTTGGCAAACAGTTATACCGAGGAAGTTACGGGAAGTTGATTTTTCCACATCTCTCCTCATACCTATCCAATAAAATCTTTGTCGTAGATGACTCAATGTCTTCTTGATTCCGAGATGTCCTCCAGTTAAATTATCATGGGACTGACGCAGCATCTGAGAGACGATCCACTATGTCATATGGGCCTTCCCATGGAGAAGACAACTTAGGAGACTTCCCTTTGGTCTTCCTGGGATTATACAACCATACCTTGTCTCCTGGTACAAAGCTGACCTCAGTAGATCTATTATCATAAGTCAACTTCATCGAATCAACAGACGTTTTCAAGTTTGAACGCACTTGATGGTGGATATCATCCATCCTTTCCGATAACACTTTCACAAACTCTGACACATTCTCAGGCAACTCTTCATCATTTGGGCGTCCCTTATGCTTGGGTCCCCTTTTAGCACTACATGTACGGCATGTCTTGCACCGGTGACTTTCTGGGTAAAATGTGGTCGGCGAGGTAAGCCAAAAGTGGTGCATGCCAACAGGCTTTGGCGTTATCACGGTCCAGGACATTTCAGTTGAGATGAAGTGGACAACAGAACAAATGATGCTGCTAAAGACGTGCCACCTGAAGAAGCCACCGTCGAAGAAGAAACTCTACTCAGTTTTGAGAAGGGAAACGGTGAAGCTCTTGATGAAGTTACTACCAATGATGTGACTGTTACTGACAATAGGACATTTCCTGATGATGCAGATGAACCCCACATGAAGCAGAAGCCAACGAGACGGATACCAGTACGGAAGAAGATACGCCACGTAAAATTAAGAGACTTTGTTGAATTGTAATTTTGTGTTTGTAATTCTGTACATTTAATTAGGTTATTGTTAATTGTTATTGGTTTATTGTAAGTGGCTATTGGTCGGGACGAACAATACTAAGGAGGGGGCAGTGTTGCGTCAGCGAGGTCACGTGACTAGTGTCACGTCACTCCTTCTCTCGAACCTTCGTGAATGCCCTAGCATTTACTAGATTGGGGGTGGTCTGGTATATATAAGATGGTCACAACGTGACGGGAACAATGTGTGTAGGTAGTGAGTAATTGAACTGCAGTCAGAAAATATTGTTGAAGTTAACGTTCGTTGTTATCGCGTTTGTTATAGAGCGACTGTTGAAATTAAGTGTATCGTAAAGTTGTATTCGTAAAGAATAAACCAGTTTTATTTCAGAAAGGACTTGTGTCGCTAAGTTTCGTCGGAACAAATTTACGGAAAATCAACTAACGAACGGAGAAGTAACAATATATATATTATGAACTACTTTCAGTATGTTAATCAGCTTTTTACTTTGCAAGGTTTACTTATATTTCAAACATGATTTCAATTGAGTGATTAATCCAAGGTTGACTAACTCAATGTTATGTACATTCTTACTTTCTACCATGACCATAACTAGTTATGAGAATGCTGAGATTCGATTCTACAGTTGTTTTCTGGCTTCTTTCATTCACTCACACACGGACACACATTATATATTTTTACACTTCAATGCTTAACAACCCAGTATGCAGCAGATATCTCGTTGTATTTTTACAATTTTCCCGCTAATGAACTCTAGAGAACCAGAAGGTGTGATTGTGTATATATTCAGGTGAACCGAATTGACATCAGAACAATAAGACAGATCCATTAAATAACTGAAGATTCATTCAATATATTAATTACAGAGTAATATTAAATATCTTATTAACTTAGTCGATGGTAAACAGAATAATGAGACTGGACACAAAATGAAATATAAAATGCACAATCTTTATTATACAATGAAACACAAACATAGTGTGTCTGTGTGTCTAAATGAATGTTGAATGTTTAAACATGCTGGCCCATCGCTCTTTACTGGATCTTCCTTTACAATAATGAGTTGAGATCTTGAGGTGAACGGTTTAAATCAAAAGCTACGTAGTTTGCAAAAAAATCTTGCATTCACCCTGTACGACATACTTAACCCTTATTATTGGTCGTTCTCATTTCAACATAGTTGGGACCATAATTTGTAGATATCACCTGGCAAATCATTAAAGGACACTGCTGTCGACACCCTTGAACAATATGTGGTATAATTCAATGTTTTCTCTGGTTGGTAACTGGTATTATATACAACAAAGAAACAAAAGATACTTGGAACAAGAATAACTTAATGGTTTCTCAACCACGTTTCATGTAAAACCTGCACATATATTCAGAACAAAAAAAAAGTGGATTCAGAATAAATGCTATAACACTAAATAATGATAACACATGCTCACACATTGCATTATATTGCAGAAGTACAACTTCATTGTACAACGTTGACCAGGCTGACAATATGAAAATGCAATTAAACTACCTCACCCACACTGTGAGCTTGTCCAGATTTTAGACATAATGTTGCTATGAAACCTAAAGCCTCACATCGAGTTATATGTAAACAAAAAAACATACAAACAGTGAGAATTATACTGATGAAGAAATTCCAAATAGAACAAGAAGAAAACATGAGAGGGGCAATTAAAATATCCAAATCTAGCTTGGGTGCTACCTTCCATATCGTAAGTGGTGCATGACTATCACAATTCAGTGAAGGTAGCATGGAAGCACATAGCATATGGCAACTGTTTGAAAAAATTGAAGGTGCAGGAAGGAGTGCTATACCACTGCTATGCTCGGTAAGGAAGTTATTTGTTCTAAATCTTCTGATATTG